TTTACGTCCAGTTGCCCTTGACATAGATTATTTTTTCCTTGGTCCACATCCTTACGTTTGAGCTGCAGTCTTTTTGCAAGCCCCAAAGTGGTTTCTGAACCATCTGCTTTTTAATTCTCTGTGGACACTTTTCAATTATTTTCCCAGCACACTTGGAACATGTAGCTCTTCCTGCAGAGCTCAGCTTAAGGCTCCTAGTGATTGGCTGTCAAAGGCCTTTCAGTCCCTTCCCCAGTGAGACTCAGGAATTGCTTTCGGACCCAAGCTCAATCAGTAGTCTCGTCATACTGAGGCCGAGACACCGATTTGCTTACACCCTGAGGTCGAGGAGGCTTGCAGAGTGTAAAGGACTACAGCTTTACTGGAATGACATGACTGAGGGGATGTCCATGCTCAGGACACATGCCCATCACCGTTATACTGAGTATTTCAGATGTTTAAGTGGAGACTAGCAGACAGAAATTATTTTATCAACCTCTATGTATTCTGTTTATGAAATGATATTATTTGGTTGGAGGGAAGTCTATAATGAGACATGTTTATTTGTTCTACTGTTGGGAGATGGTTTACAATCCTCTCAGATAATACCTATTGGCTCAATTTATGTGTGTTTTGTATTTTTATTTATTTCCAGAGTGAGAGGAAGACAGGCATCCTCAACAGGGTCTTCATGCTGCAATCCTTCCCCTAGTCCTGCAGCCAGCCAGGACATGGGCATGTCTGCAGGTGTGTTCAGTCATACCCAACCTAGAACCCCAAGCCTTCCCTCGTGGTCCCTAATTTTGCGAGACTGCACCCCTGCTGCCTGCACCAGCACAGCTGACCTAGGGCTCAATTTAAATCTAAGCATAACCCATGCAGGCACATTCCTTAACTCCTTGGGCATCTCAGTTTTCTAAGACAGTTATCATACATTTTTAGAAAGCAAACGCTATATTCTATTCATTAAAGCAATAATACCAACAAAGAACTCTCTCACTCTCCCCTACATCAAATACCTAATAAGAAAACTTCTTCCAGTATCCCTTCCAAAATCTTTTAATCTTTCAAAGCTCTAATTCATGAAATCTCTCCCCACTACACTAGCTCTCAGAGTCCTCTTTCCAAAGAAGTTATGTACCATCTATGTGGCACCTTAAATATAGCTTAACTTCAAGCATCTGGGGGGAATTATCTGCCTCAATAAAATTCAAGGCCTTTCAACAGAAGGGATCATTTTTTATCTTCTCAGTATCTACCAGAGTGTTAGGTATACACTAAGTAGTAAGAAAAAAATTGTTGATTAGCAAAAACCTCTCCCAAAAAAAAGAAAGTGAATACTTAATGAAAATGATAAGTAGCCATTATATATAGCTTTTAAAGCATTTTGCCTCTATATTATCTCACTTGATAGAGCTTACAAGGTAAGTAAAAATAATTGGTATTTTACAAAACATAAAACTGTGAAAACTTTCCTACTGACACCACCACCACCAACAACAACAACAAAAAACACACAAAAAAGGTGTGGGGGAGGGCAAGGGCAAAGTCCTTACAGAATACAAATGAAGTAGCACCTGAGAGGCCTAACTGGATCACATAGACTCTGTTGTTTTTCTCACATTGTACCCCCCAATACACAGATGGCCCACAATGCCCTGCTAAACTGGAAGACCTGGTATAACAGGCTTGAAGCCATATACACTTGGAACCCAAATTGTTCTTTGTGCACGATATGTTGAGTGAGTGTGAAGGGCTCCCACAGACCCTCACTGTAACCCCTGCTGCTACACACACACCAAGCCTATGGGAAAGAAAGTGATCACCATACTGAGAGAAATCTCCATTTCCATACGTTCAACTGATCCTAAGGATATTATCACTGGGGAAGGGTTAGTTTAGAAAGGAAAGGAAACATAGTTCAAACAAAATAAAAATCATAGGAAAAAATCAGAAAATTTTCAGTAAAACAGGTTAGGGTAACTTGGTAACACCAGAATTCAGTAACTGTCAGGGGCCATAAGAGGCATGATGACCAAGTTGAACTGCTTAATTCAATGCCAAGCTCAAGAGAAGTTCTAACTTAAAGATCACATAGAATTCCTCTTAAGGATATAAAATATGCATGAAATATTTTTCTGTCTTTCTATGCAAAAAGGCATGACTTTTCAATGACCCAATGGTCCATACATATATGGACCATAGAAAAGACCAGTCCTTGTCTATTTATAAGTCCTAATCTATATCCCTCACTAAAATTGCCAACAATTAGCACTGTATCTGAAGACAGGATGGAGCCCAGAGTCCATCCTCAAACACCACTGTCCTCCTCAGACCTTTGTGGACATACTCTAAACCAAAAAGAAACTATCTCCAAGAAGTTCTGGTT